ACACACATTGGAAAATAATGGTCTGAAGTAGGGAAGTAAAGAGATAGTGACAGAATCTTTAATGTTATAGTATGATGTTAATTGATGGTAGAAGCTAGTGCCAACATGACTACTTCTACCTGGAAACCCATGTTTACGGTAGGAGTTTGTCCTGATCCTAGGAACAGCTGCTCTGAAAAGTCCCGGGATAATATAATCTGCTAGTATCACACCATCTGCTTCTCCATCCTAGATCTTACAGAAGCATATCAGTAGAATGAAGCTTTTTAGTTTCTTTACTTTCTGGAAAGTTAAGGCTTGGTTCTATGTTCTGGTAGGACTTCCATGTCTACCTCTGTGGGGTGGATAAACAATGTGAGTAACACAACAATTGACTCAGTGTCAGAATCTAAATTATCTCACCAGTTATTCTCATCTCTGAGTGAAACCAACAGGAAATCAGTGAAAACTTGAATAAAACCTGGAAAATTTCAAATTCTGCTTCATCAGGGACCTTTATTAAAAGCTATCAAATGATACACTACAAACTGTAAATGCAAAGAAGTTCCTCTCTAGGTTTGAATTTGAGTCCTGGGCTAACTGCTGCTTTTGGGAAGCAGTAACCTTTTAGCTGGTTAGCTTTCCTTCCTGCCTCTCTTCTCTTCAGTGCTGTTCTCTGTCTCTGTTGAAGATAGAAATGAGACAGAATGCACTAAGTCCCTCTGTGTAGGGTTTAGGGCATGATTTTCCAGGCAGTATGTGATGCAGGCATGAATCACAACTCCCTTTAAGATACTGATGTATTCAATTCCCTGGCTCTTTTCATCTGACAGAACAGGCTGCAGAGTTTTGGTTTTAATCTAAACAATAACCAATTTACTCCAGAGATGAGTATTTGCTGACTGTTGCTGCTGTTCTTATGCTCGGAATTGCAAACCCCTTGGAAAATGAGGCCAGCTTGTGCATGTGCATACAAACCTGGTTTCAAATCTGGACTGGATTCTCTCTTCCAGCTCAGCAAGTGACTGACATGTTCACTTTAGCATAGCTTCCTCCCGAGACAAGCCGTGGGCTGTGCCAAAGTGCTGTGAGGCATTCACTGCATGTTCAGTCACACACTGGAGGCAGATTCTACAGCACCCTGGAGACAGGGGTGAGATAAGGACAGTACAGTCATGATTCAGAACTGCCTTGCACTTTGGTCCTGCCACTAGGTCATATCAGCATTATATCAATAGAACCAAGATACAAATCAGACCCCATTTCAATAACACCCTTGTGTTACTGAAATTATTTGAAAGAAACTACAAAATCTGTATAGCTTCTGTTCAGTTCAAACTCAGATATGGCTGAGGTTGTAGCAGTTCAGTCCGTAATAGTTCATTAAAGGAATTCATACTGAAAAATACACCATTTAAATACAGAAATGTCCATGTGATGGTCATAATCTTGCAACACCTGGCATCAGACAGAGAAACAATTTTGTTCCTCTCTCCTTTCTCTCTGGTGGAGCCTCCTCATCGCTTGTGCTTTCAGACCTGTCCTGCAGCCTGGCTCTCTGCTCCTGGAGTTGGGCAGGGTGGGTTCCAAGGGCTGAAGTTCTGTGCTGATAACGGGAGGGGTTGAGGGACAGGGACCCCTTGTGATCTCACAGTGCTCCACATGTATGAGGTGACCAGGTCTCAGTGCATTACTCTAACAAGTACTCAATCAAGAAGAAGTTTTGGGGGGGTTTTCCTGCTTATTTGCTTATTTGTTGTTTGGATCCAACATAAACTTTAACATGGAAGAAGAAAAACCTATAGCTGCGAGTGGCTTTCAATTTAACTTTCTTGTTTGAAATACAAAGCCTGATGCGGATGAGGCTCTGCAGACAACCCTGATTTTGATAACTAGCAAGAGCATTTCTAATTTAAAGAGTCTCCCTTCTCTTTGTATTAGTTACTTCTCTAAGCAAAGCAGCTGGCGTGACCTGGACATGTTTTGCTTGTATCGTTGCCGTGAGACAACAATACAAGCCTGAGGAAAGAAGACAACCTAGATACTATAGCATCTGGGAGTTGTTCAAGTAGGACTTGAGAAGCCAATGCTTCTCTGAAGCTTACTAAGACTACCTGAAACTATCTGAGGAGTTAACCCATGAGTGCACCTTCAGTCAGTTTGCAGACCACACCAAATTGGGCAGGAATGTTGATCTGCTTAAGGGTAGGAAAGCTCTGAGGAGGGACTTGGACCCGCTAAATTGATGGGCTGAGGCAAATTGTATGAGGTGCAGTAAGGCGAAATGCTGGATCCTGCACTTGGATCACAACCCCATGCAGTGCTACAGGCTAGGGGCAGAATGGCTGGAAAACTGCTCAGCAGTAAAGGGCCTGGGAGTGTTGGTCAACAGCTGGCTGAACATGAGCCAGCAGAGTGCCCAGGTGGCCAAGAAGGCAAATGGCATTCTAGTCTGTATCAAAAATAGTGTGGCCAGCAGGACCAGGGAAGTGATTATTCCCCTGTACTCGGGTGCTGGTGAGGCTGGACCTGTTTGCTTCTGGGTCCCTCACTACAAGAAAGATATTGAGGTATTGGAGTGTGTCCCTAGAAGGGCAACAGAGCTGGTGAAAGGTCTGGAGCACAAGTCATATGAGGAGCAGCTCAGGGAGTTGGGGTTGTTTAGCTTGGAGAAAAAGAGGCTGAGGGGAGACCTCATCACTACAAATACCTGAAAGGAGGTTGTAGTGAGGTGAGGGTTGGTCTCTTCTTCCAGGTAATAAGTGACAGGATGAAAGAAAATAGTCTGAAGTTGTGGCAGGGGAGGTTTAGAATAGATATTAGGAAAAATATCCTGCAGAAGGGATTGTCAAGCATTGGAACAGGCTGCCCAAGGAGTCACCATCCCTGGAGTTATTACAAAATGTGTAGCTATGGCACCTGAGGACACGGTTTAGTGGTGATGATATGTTGATGGTTGGACTTGATGAATCTACGAGGTATTTTCCAACCATAATGACTCTAGATTTTATGAGATTTGGGAGATCAAAGAACTGAACCAAGGGTTATGTGTCCAGGAGAGACTGGCTTTTGTCCTCTGGTGAGGCCTCTGTATCTTCTCCCCCAATCAGAGGAGGGATACTCCTGCTGCAGAGGACAGGGTAACAGAGAACTGTGGAGAAGGGCAGCAAAGCACAAGGAGACCTAAATACTAGGCATGGTGTTCAACAGCAGGTTCAATGCTAATGTGCTGTCTCAGCTGGCAGAGGTTGAGAGCTACCTGATCCAGCTCCAGTCTAATGCTCTGATGTATCATAAAAACAAGAGTTTGCATATTTCAATTGAAGAGGTAAATGGAGGTTATACAAGGTCTGCAGAGACTAGTGTGCAGGGGTCCAGCTGGGGTTGGATGGTTCACTGCTCTCCTGCAGCAATACATTATTTGTGATAACAATACTCGCAAAGAACAAGAAGCATTACAGCATTTTCTGAAGGGAAATGGAACTGCTGTACTGCCAGAGCCAAGAATTTTTAGAGACATGGTTTTAAGGTATCAATATGGGCCATACATTAAGTCAGGCTTGGGACTGCACTTTTCATATCAAAGCTACCGTGTTTTTTCACAGTAGCAGTGGTCTTGCAGAAAACATTTTCAGGTGATTTACAGAGCTACTGCAGTCATCATAAATACATAAGGGAGCAGTCTGAGCACAGTAGTTGCAGTATGCCAGACCTTTGGTTACCTGACAGCAGAGGGGTTCTTACTCACACTACGGCAGCTCAGTGACGCCAGACGCCATGGAAGGTGCAGCTTATTCTGTCTCCACAAGAAGCTGCTACCAGGCCCAAAACAGAATTTTAGTTTAATGAACCTGTCATGTCCTTGTACAGGAACAAGGGAACAACATTTACTTTCCTTGCAGTGCTTGATTAAAACAAGAATTTAGTTGCTTTGAGTTACTAGAGATGTATCTTCACTGCACAGCAGCTGTAAGTGAACGGTAAATATACCAGGCACGGGCAGTTTCCTCAGTGCCTGAAAACATAATTTCTGTAGCAGCACAGCTCTGCAGCTGACCTAATAAATACTGGTGCTGAGCAGGGCTAATTATCTCCAATGCAGCACTGCCCTGGCATGGCTGTACAGCTTCCCACTCTGGAATTAGCTTAGCCGGGACTTGTTTGGGTGTCTGCACTGTCCTTCACGGTATGGTGCAAACAGGCCCTGCGCAGTGCTCGGTACAGAAGCATCACATGCATGCACTGGACTGTGGTATTACTCTGCTCTAAATGTAATGGGGAAGTGTTGAGCTCCAGAGCAATGACGCAATTTAAGAGTTCCTCTTGAAAATTTGTCTTTGACTTGGGTGAAGTTTGGGTCACCTTGGACCTTTGATCACCCATTTTGGAAAATCAAGCCCTTGTCTCTTCCCAAATCAGTGCCTGATAGTATACGGTGCCTCTGAGCAAAATGTTGACCAGCATGCTCTGAGTTACCAATAACTCAGCAGTTACCAATGTTAGATAGGCAATTCCTAAATGGTGCTCCTCTGACCTGTGTGGGGAACATAGCTCTGTCTCTATGATCTAAACCAAACTAATAATTAGATGTTGGGAGGCGATGTAAAAAGGTGTGTGGAAAACGACTGGGAATTTTCTTTCTCCGGATTTTGAAGATCAAATAAGACAAGTGAATCGATAAAACTGGCTCAGTGTCAGCTGTTTAAGTGACAAGACAGAAAAATAATCACACATCCTGTAGCAGCTGGGCTTATGCAGGTTCAGGTCCAGTTATATCTTAATACAAGTTAATATCTACGTGGAAAGGATTAGATGAGCATTTTTCAGAGACCTAATCCCAGCCAGCTATATAAACACAGTGCCAACTTCTGTTGGGCTGCAAGGAGCCTCAGTTTGTCTCAAGATGATTTCAAAACCACTCTTCTCCTTAAGGGGGGGGCAGATGGGGCATATACCCTAGACCAAGACCATGTGTTTCTTTTCCACTAATGCTTCCCACTGTGGCTTTTTTCTTACTGTAGTACTGGATAAATGAATACACCTCCACCTTGGGGATCGGTGTCTTCCACTCTGGCATCGAGATCTACGGCAGAGGTATGACATGAAGTATTTCCTTTTTGCTACCTGCAGAACATGTGGACAACTGTACAGCTAGTCTGATATGGAAAAGCACCCCTAACTCACAGCTTTTGGCAAGGAATGTTTTGAGAAATTAAAAACTTAGTCAGTTCTCTATTTAGAGTCCATCGTGGAATCCAGGAGAAACTTGTGCAGTTCTGTCATCAACTATGTAGCCCTTATTTTCAGCATGTAACTACAGCCTCTACAGCTTGTGCAGGTGTGTGGCAAGATGGCAGATAGCAGGAGCAATGTTGAAAAACCATTCTGTAGTGAAGGAGGGGGATAGAGGAGGGGAAAAATGAGGGAGGGGGAAGAGAGGTGGATGAGTGGTTGTTTTAAGACCTGCATATGTGTTTGTGCTAATTCCCTGTCAGGATGAATCTGTTTTGCAGTAATTCTTTATGAGTGCCTATGGTCTAGAAGTCTTGGAATCTGGGTTTCCAGATCTTGGAAACTGTTCATTTGAAACAGCAGAGTTACAGAGAAAAAAAAATGTCTTGTAAGACTTTTGAAATTGTCTGGATGGGGTTGGAGATGATTAGAGCCACCCATTGCAAAAGGTATAGCCAAAGGATCTGGGAAAACAGCTGTAGCACAGCAAAGAATGAACTAGCATCACAGATTTTCTGTTTCCTTCTTCAGCATTAAATGGGAATGAACTCGAGCTACTAACTCATGGTATTTTTAGCCAGTGTCATGCAGTAGACAGAACCTCTGGGGTGCCATTTCCATCTTGAGCACAGAGGTTTGCACAGGTCATGCATGACGGTCTGTATGACATGGAAGGACTCACTGACTTGACCTATGTGCTGAGGCAGCGGAGTGCAATCAGCCTGGCTTTCTGCAAAGACTTCCCACTCACTGCCTGTAAATCCCTCTGAATTTGATTTCTCCCTATCCTAGAAAAGACTTCTTCCAGATCAGTGGCACCACTGGCAGCCACTCATAGTTTATCTAGATGCCTTCACCGCAGAACTTTCTACTGTGAGGAAGCCACCTGGATGGGCACAGAGACAGACTCAGAGTTTTCCTGGTGCTGTGGGAAAGCAGCAGTGTTGTAAGGAGGGAGGCTGTGAGGGCATCCTCAATCCAATAGGTAACCAGACAGTGAAAACGGCTTTCAGAGTCTGGCCAAAACAGATTTTGGCAATAGCCCAGCCCCTGGTGCTGACACTGAGCCATGCAGACAGCTGCCATAGACTTTTTCCTGACATGGCGTTCATTCAATTACTCACAGTCTGTTTCTTTCCTTGTCAGAGTTTGCCTATGGAGGGCATCCCTACCCTTTCAGTGGGATTTTCGAGATCACACCTGGCAGTGCTGTAGAACTTGGCGAGACCTTTAAATTCAAGTAAGGGCTCTTTTCTACCTCTTCCCCCCTGCCCCTGGTAGCCATCAGTGCAGGGGGAGCAGGGGAGTCCTGTCCTCTGGGTCCCCCTATCACTCTTCTCATAAGTGCCCTCACTACATCCTTTACTCCTGATTCAAAGGCAGCTCTGCAGGGATTTTGGAGGTGGATAAAAGAGTGTGTACACCAAATAGGGAACAGTGCTGAACTGTGTTTGTCCGGGATTAAGAGCCATCATTACAAATGAATGCAGTTCGCTTTTCCCATTTTATTTGTTTTCTGAGCTCCCAGTTTCACCTGTTACACAGAGCCAATGCACAGGGGAAAAAATAACACTTCTCTTCTTATGAATACCACCTATTTGTGGGTACTGCACGGAGTAATTTAAGTCATCCCCTGTGTTTATTGCTGCTCTTTCACAAGGGACAGACCAGCTGCCAGAGGACTCTGAGAGGATGCTGCATTCATGTGTTGTTCAAGGTGCTCAGGCTGTGGGACTTTGGGCCAAGGAACTGCCCATAGCAGGTGGGGCTTGACCTTCCCAGACCACCAGTTCACGCTGAGTGTTGTTGGAGACTTTTAGAAAGAGGCTATTGAGGGAATATTGGGAGAAGCAATAGGTTTCTGCGTAAAGTTTTCAGTCTGCTCTTTCCTGGCCCACCCCATGGGAACCCTCTCCATTCAGAAAAAAAAAGCATCTCCTCTGTAGTAATGAAAATTTCTGTTGTGGGATGATGGGCAGAGCAGAACCCAAAGATGAAATTTTTCTGGTGGTGAGCAGGAAATTCTCAGGGATGTTGCCTGTGCAGTAACTTGCTTTGTGAAAAAGCTGGGGATATTATTGTACCATTCTGTTAGTGAGAGTCTCTGATAGCCTTAGATATGCATGTCCATAATGTTTTAAGCCTGTTCTTCTTGCCTGATCATTTCCTTCTCCCTCAGTATGTATCACCCTCTTCACTATAACTTTCCCTGTTTCCTGTTATGTGTTTTGTTTTTAACTAGAGAATCCATTGCCTTGGGCACCACAGACTTCACAGAAGAAGATGTGGATAAGATTATGGAAGAGCTGGGCAAGGAGTACAAAGGAAACGCATACCACTTGATGCACAAGAACTGTAATCACTTCTCTGCTGCTCTGGCTGAGGTGGGCACAGATGGGGAGTTTTTGTTACTTGTTTTTACTGTTTCAGACCTGTAGTAGTGCTCAGAGAAAGGGAACTGGGGTCAGCACAGCCTGTCAGGCCAGAGCCCATACCCAAATCTCCTGTATCTGCCTTTAATATTTTTGGAAGCCCTTCGCTGTGGAAAGGATGGGATCACGAAGTGGAGGTGTAGCAGGTATATCACAGGTTTGGTCTAAAATGTGTGGGAAATTAGAAGTGCCTGAATTTTGGTTTGCTGAACAGGCACTGAGCAAGAATTGGAAGGACAGACCTGGTTAGCATGCAAATGTGCATCATTTTAATAACAAATATAAATAACCCTTCATGATCTGCAAAGGCATAAAAATGGTTTAGCAGTGTTCTGAAAACAAATATTTGCAGTATTCAGGAAGTGGGTGTTTTTTTCCTTATTTAATGTGCACCATCCAAAACCCATTAAAAAATAATTGATTTTCTCATAGACATCTTTGGTGCTTATTCATTTTCATGCTCTCAAAACCACTGTGAATTATAACAGAGCTGTTATTTCTCTTCAGAGAGAACCGAAGCACAGATAAACATAAATTTATCCCAGCTATCCGCTTATTTGGGCTATCTGACTTTTGATTCCCAAAGACCCGATTATTTTGGTGGAGGAGCTGCCTTCCTCCTCCTCCCAGCCCCCAAGATAAGGGTTCAAAGTGTATTTCAATTAAGATGTGAGTATTCAGCATTTGGGCAAATCTGAATACTGGATCTTGACCCAGTGCCAAAAAAAGATGGGAAAAGCACCAAATGGAAGTGACCTTCCATAAAACCTGTTTTTGTGCTTTCCATAGTTGTTTTATGGCAAAACCAAGGAGAGAATATCTTTCGTTCCAATAGAGTATGGCTGCTGTAACAGTGAAACTTTGATTTCTCCTTCTGGAGTCCCCAACCTCCTTCATTACACATCTTGCCTTTTGTCATCATATGGGGCAAGAGTCCTATGCCAATAACCTCTTTTGCCACAAGCGTCCGCTCATCCCCAAACAAGCCCAACACAGATCCTGAGTGAGATGTGTAGAAAAAATACTGTGTGATTTTTGTAAGAAAATCCCTAGTGAATCTGAGAACCAGCAATTAATTTACAGGGGACCTGCTTGGGCTCTTAGGGAACTCCAATTCTCTATTGGTTTCCTCCTTGCTAATTATATATAGAGAAGATGAGTGAGTCCTTTCTGTAAATGTTAGCAAATTAAAACAAGCAGGAAGGAATTGAATTGGTACAAACAGAGAATGCAGTTTCAAGCAGTACAGTGAGTAAATCAATGTTAGCCACACTGCTAATCTGGAATCAAATAATTGAATTACAATAACAGAATATGTGAACTTTAAAGATTATGAAGGAAATCCAGGAGAAAGGTGTGTGATTATTGGGAAAATATAAATAAAACTCCTTATCGGCAGCAGTGAAACAAATTCATCGCTTATTACATAATTTGATACTTAAAATGTCTGTTTCATGTTCAAGCCATAAACTCAAACCCATTTTTCATTGATTCTACTGCTACTTATCAGTGAATCCTTCACTGCCCCTTCCTTGTCCAGTCTTCCAAACAAGTAGAAATCTCATAAAAAACTAGTAGTGTATTTTAAATTTTGCTTTCAATATGCTTTCAGTGAGCATCTTTATAGGAGTGGAATTTAGGGTTAAGTTTTCCTGCAAGAGCTTTCTTGGTGGATACCAAGTGCTCATTCATTGCCCCATAACCTGTCTAGATAATAAAACAAAAGCATGAATGGCTAGTTCTGACACTTCTGCTCCCAGGAGCAGAATTTACTCAGGATTTATGTCAGTTTAAATAAACCCTTCATAGGCAAGCAGGACTTTTTGTTGCTGTTGCTCTTCACATATGACCGTGTATATCACCCCTCTTAAAAGCATTACAAATGCAAACCCAGAGGAGCTGAACAGCAGGTCCAGGAGCAGAATGTCCTGGATAGTCTCTAGTGTGGAGATGCAGAAAATGGGAGCTGAAATTCTTAAAAAATAGCTGGTGGTAAGACACTAAGTAAAAGTCCTAGCCATTCAATGTGCCTCGGTCAGCAACATGAGGAAAATGTGTGGCTGCCTTACAATAGAAATCTCCACTCCTTGCAGTAAACACAGTAATTTGGCAAGTACTGTGTTTCTGAGCTGGCCAAGAAGTAGCACAGCTTATCTTGGGACACTTATGACCTCTTGGAGGAAAGACTGCTTGAAATCTTTTCAGGCAGAACCTGCTTGAACTGAAAGCAATGAAAGTTTCTATTCACATTTCTCAGCATCTGAATGCTTGCTTAACTTTAGAGCCTAAGTAATTTTTTTATTCTTGCTGGAGTTCCCATTAAAACTAAACAAACCAAAAATCACCCTGTTGGGAAGCTCCAATCCCTACCATGTAGAGCTATGAGATGCAGGCTCAGGATCCGTAGACCATACTGGCTACATGATGACTGGCTCAAAAACCTGTGTAGATATGTGTCACCATAGAGGGCAGAAAAGAGAACTGATATTTGTGCCCTAAAATCAATTCTGAGATGAGTCTCTTTAGTGCTTATATTGCCCTTTTCTTCATACTCTTCATCTGTGAAGGAGCAATAATAATAATAGTAATAATTAGCATCAATTTATGCATAGTTGTGTTATGTGGCAGTTAAAGACAGGAAACTGGAAAAAGTATTCAAATTATTAATGGAAAATATGTAAAAATTTTGCTCAGCAGAATAAAATTGTACACTGGAACTGGAATTTTATTCCAGTTGCAGAAAAAGAAACAGCCAAGGATTTTGAGTGTAAATTCTTGGTCTCTGTTGCTGTAGGCCAACTGAAAGGTGACACTATGAGCACTGCAATGCCCCTTCACCCCAGAGAGGGACCAGGGTGGAGGATAGATTTAGCATGAAAGAGGGAATGACTAGCTCTGCTCCTCACAGCCCTTTAGGCTTTCCAGCTCATGGATATAAGCCATTGTGGACAGTTAAGGAGATGGTTGTTCTGGGTAATGCCAGGCACATCACATCCCTGCTCTGTGCCTAAGTATCCTCCCTTCCTTGTATACTGGGTATTTCCTTCCTTTGAAAAGGGCTCTGAAATCTTTTGATGACAGCTCTGTCATCTGCCAAAGTTAATTATCTGGTTTAAAACTTGTATTGCTCTGTATCGCATGCAAAACCAGAGATAGAGCTTTACAGCCAAGTGGCAAAGTATGAGTTAATGTGTGTTTACACAAATCTGTCTGGCAGGGCTTGAGATTTGTCTGTAGGCTGTGTGCTAGGTAGCTGTGTTTGGTCACCTCATCTGGCTGTGGGTGTGCTGATTAGTATCTATACAGATGTTGCCCTGGTAGCTGGGCCATGGGCTGTGAGGATAATGCCATCTGGTCATATGGACTGAGGGCAAATGCAGCCACATGTCCTCCTGGCAGATGTCATGATTCTGCAGAGGGAAGGGGAAGGAGGTGTAAGACTGGCTCTCCCTCCCAGATCAACTTCCTCAGGATCACACCATGAGACAACAGTTGCATGTCCAATTGCCAGGACCTGGAGGACAGGTTTCTTATCCTCAGAAGGACTGCTGAAGCCACAGACAAAGATTTTAGTTTTCTTTTCCTTTACCAGTGTTCTCCCAGCAAATAGAACATCCATTCCAAAATCTTCCATCTACATCTGTTTATGAGAGATTTTTCTGTCAAATTTCTGTTTAATACAATGATGCCTTGAGAACTGGTAACTGTACTCTTTAAGTTACATGCAGGCTGACTACTAATGATTCAGGACATGTCTGGACCTACAACTATGACTGCCATTTGGCCATGCATCTTGAAAAATCCCTGGACTATAGGAAGTCCAGCACAGACAGATAAGCTGTACTTAACCACTGGGCATGCCTTTGACCTACTATCTACCTCTGGAAAATCTCACTTTGCAGTGCAATCGTAGACTGATTGTGTGCTGCTGTGGAATTGAGTTTCTCCCTGCAATGCCATGTGTCTCTTCTGAGTCTTCTGATCTTCCTGTCCACATTCCCTTGTAAGCTGCAAAGGGCTTTGTTACTCTTCCATTGCCATTTAGCTCTCAATTTTCCTTACTCCCTACTGCAGACCGCCAAGCATATTCAACTTGCTTGAGACCTAGTTCTCTCCAGATTTGCCAGTTCCCTACGGACTTGTAACAAGCAGCTACTGGATCAAAGAGGCATGGCTCTGGGTCTGCTCACAAAGCAGCTCCTGTGGACAGAAAACAGAGAATGCCTCCATTTCAGCTGCAGCAGTTCAGTGCCATTTTCATCTTATCCAGTGCCATTTCATAGCAGCTTTCTGGTACTTCAGTGGGGGTTTCATTCTGATGAAGTTATGCATGTGTGGGGAATTCAGTTAGGACCGTGTCAACATTGGAAAAAACCCTTCTGCCTGATCATCTGTTTTTAAGTCACTTTGTTCCTAACAATCCCCAATGTATACTTACAGCAATATGTTCAAATGGCCCTACAAGGAAATTCAAAATATTTATGTTCTTCATGGGTTGCCTGGCTGATGAAAGAGGCTATTTAAACTCTGGCAGGTGGAAAAAATATTTTGCTTTTGAACATGAGAAAAACATTTTAAAACAAAAAGAAAGGCTAAAATAATTAGTTATTTCTATAATGTGAATTGTTGAATTTTCTGATGTTTTTCACAACATGAAGATGTGAGATAGCAAAAGGACAGAAGTAATAAATTGCTGTAAAGCAGATAATAAGTAAGGGCAATACATTTACGGCCTCAGAAAAAAAGCCAAATTCAAAGAAGTTCTTGGACTGTAAGTTCCTCTGCAAGGACCTGCAGGTCTGAGGTCCCAACCTTGTCACTGCTTTACAGAATCACTTATCACTGTAGTAGTGGGCCACAAGGAAGTATGACATGAGGTGCTAAGAAAGACTTGCAGTTCTACACTTTGTCAGCAAGACTGTTCTTCGGGTATAGATAAGGGTAGGAGCATG